CTTGTGCTGGCTGGGGTTACATTTCTTATGAAAGAACATGTTTTCAGTCTGTACACACATTGTTCATCTCTGTCCTGGATGTGAGGGAATGCAGACAGCCTCTGTGCCACTGAGTGCCTTCTACCAGCTTGAGCTAGTGCACCAGCTGTAAGCCCACCCGAACAAAGAAACCCTAGTCTCAATCACCCACTGCCTGGCAATCTCCATCTTGAACTATGGCAAACCATATATGCAGGGATGCCCCTGAAGGCAGTTCAGAAACTAGTTAGCTCAGAATCCAGGAGTGGGAATATTAATTAGTTAGTTCAAAATCCAGGAGTGGGGATATTAACATCACACTGTGTTCTGCCAGATGTGCTGGTGCCCCATAGTTTCAGACTCAGTTCAAAATGCTGGTTTTGATTTTTAAAACCCTTCATGGTTTGGGACTGGGATATTGAGGGATCATTTGTTTCTGTACATTTCCTTATTTTAAAAGAGTTGCTACAAGAGTCTCAAACACCTCAGGTATAAAAGGTATGTAGAGTGGAAAAAAGTGGGATTTTTTCCCCAGAGTGAAATACAATGTTTCAATCTTGAGATCATTTCATCACAAAAGAACCTCCTCCTCCTCCTCCTCTTTTTGATTCTCTGTATGCTGCTACACTTGTTTTTAACTGTCTTTATTGCTTTTATTCTGCTCTTTGTATTGTAGAATTAAAGTATATGGCCTATTTTGTTTTAATGTAAAGATATAGCCATGTTAGTCTGGGAAATTAGTATGCAAAGGGATCTTGCAGCATTTTTGAGACTAACTGAAACATATAGGTTGGTAGCATGAGCTTTCATAGACTTGGGCCTACTTCCTCCAAATGTATCTGAGGAAGTAGGCTCAAGTCTATGAAAGCTCATGCTACCCACTTCTATCTTTCATTTAGTCTCAAAGGTGCTGTAAGATTGCTTTGTTTTAGTGTGTTTAACTGGGAGTTTTATCTTTTTGTCAACTGCCCTCAGAACATATTAGACAACCCAGAATTTACATTAAACAAGAAAACAAAACACCACTCCAGTCTGAACCAATGAATAAAATGTAATAGGTAAGTAAAGGGCAAAATACATGATGTGATGAAATCCAAAGAAAAACTTTATAGCAATTTGGTGGAAGGAAAAACCACACCCTACAAAGGAGAATGCAATATACTTATAGTATAAGACCATACTAGGCCTCAGAGAGTTTGGTGTAATCAGTGTTACCGAAAGAACAAAGTAAGATAACCAACTTTACAACAAGTGAGGGTTGCTTGAAGGAGAGCTCTAACAGTGAGTAGCAATTACATTCAGTCAAGAGAGCAAAAGGAGACAAGCATAGAGTGGATAGACATGAGCAGAGTACAGAAAAAGAAATTCAGTGAGTGAGAGGTTGAAGATATCTCTTGTAATGAAAGCGGTTGTGAGATCTTGTTTATCAGACAATATACTTGGTGAAAGATAATAATAAAAATTGATTCGGTGGCAGAGCAAAAGAGATAGATCAAGAAGAAAGATGGTCTCATCTGTGATGAAAAGAATTAGGATACTTTGTTTAACTGGAAAAAATAATATGAGGAAGGGCACTTTTAAATGGCTCAGGAAATGAGTAAAGTGCTATATGGTTGATATTTATTTATTTATTTTGTAATGAAGAAAACAAAAAAGGCTGACAGTGGGACATAAAAAAAGATTTATATCTGGTTTTAATTTTTTTTCCAGAAAAAAAAGACAGTTAGGATGGGAAAGCACATTGTTAGCTTGAATTTATGCAATTATTTTAATTCATCATGATTCCACAAGGAATATGGGACTAAGGAATAATGTGTCACCTTTTCATGCTACACAATTGTAGTAGTATGATTCTACTTTAACTGCCATGGCTGCATCCTATGGAATCCAAGGGGTTTTAGTTTGATGGAGCATAAGTTGACTTTGATTTATGGTGACCCTATGAATGAGAGACCTCCAAGATATCCTGCCATCAGCTCCTGTAAACTCAGGACTCTGACTTCCTTAATCAAGTCTATCCACATGTAACACTAACTTCCTATTTTCCACTGCCTTCTCCTTTATATTATTATCTTTCCAATGAGTCATCAAGTCATAATATGTCCAAAATATGATAGCCCCAATTTGGTCTCAATATCCTTCCCTAAACTGCAACTCCTGGGATTCTATAGGATGGAACCATGACAGTTAACGTGGAATCACAGAACTATAATTGTGTAGTGTTAAAGGATTTCTAGTTGTGCTAAACCTGTGAAATACTCCTCATGATGAAAGCCTAGCTTGCTCTCCCCCTCAGTCACATTTCGCAAAACTTTCCTCTTTATTTTGGTTCACAAGCCATTTTAGCAGTCTCTTAACAGCCTGAGATTTTAAAGGTAATGTTGCATATAGAGTCTTACTTACTTGAAAAATTTTAGAAATTCAACTCACAGTGGGCATGCTAGTTGTGGGATTCTGGGACTTGTAGTCTAAGTCCAAATGAGCAACAAGCTCTGTTCTTTCTACTTGTTTGGATGGACATTCTTTTAATTGAGGCTATATTGCTACTATTTTTGTTGTAGTCTAAACTGCTGTTTCCAGTTTTCCAGTTTTGACACAAATGTTTTATCACTTTCCATGTTATGTTATTCCATAAAGCATGAGAAAGGCACAGTGCAGGGCATATAATTATCCCCTTTCTCCTAAAAGGTGTCCATTCTACAAAATAGACATCTCAGTGGGTTTCTGAACAAAATTCCATTTCTCTCTTATTCCTGCTGCTAATGGCTTTGTTTTGCTCATTTGTGCTTTTCCATGGCAATCAATGTAGATTCATAATAATCTATATTTCTTTTTTCTTGCTTAGACTTTGTGTTTAGATTTCCTACTGGTCATGTCTTTCATGTCCTTTATTGTTTGGATTGTTATCAACTACAGAGTTTTCTGAAAATGTGGGAGGAACATTTGCAAATGAATAAATGAATAATGTAGTCAAGTGCGACTTTGCAGGGCCTTTTAAATGAAATTGTTGTTGGGTGTCCATTCTCCTATTGAAAGCTTTCCCGAGTGGATGTTTCTTCACTATATTACAGTCCATGACATTTGGATTGTGTCAAAAGTGACTTTTTTTCTTTTTAAAAAAGGAAGGCATGAATACAAAGTTGCAAATGCATTTACACACATGACTATTCTAGCAATATTTATTAGCCTGCCTACATCAGAAAATAGCTGATTTTTTTTAAAAAAAAAAAAAAAGAAAGAAAAATCCCCTCAAATACAAAACTGATCTGGGATTGAAATATGTATGCTGTCTAACACAGAGACATAGATATATGGATTTGTTTTAATTTTGGTTTGAAGTAACTTGCAGAAGGCATTAAAACAGGTCAGGAATCATGTGATCCTGTAGATCTTCTAGCAGTCCAAGACATAATACCCAATGGGGAGGAAAACTTGAAGTTGTAGTTCAGCAATATTTGGAGGGCTCCCCAGCCTCGCATTAATACACCTGCATTCTACACACACACAAACACACACACACAAAACCCTCTGATCATTGTGCAGACTTTAATGCCAGAACTTTGAAATTGAAGAGCTGAGATCTTGTTCATGATATATGCATATATAGGTCAGGTTTATATGCATATATAGCTCAGGGTTATATGTACTAGCCCCTTATTTAACAAACATAGACACTAGGAGGAAAACGACTCAGGAGATCAAGAAGTGTCCTTTTCAGCTGCAAGTGCAGCTAAGTTGAAGAGAAATAAGATCACTCTTCTAGATAGCGTGTCCTTATTTTTCCAACTGAAATAAGCAGCAGTTTGATTGCCTGAGCTGTTTCTCTCGCCTTCCTGTCTGCTGCCCTGCCATGTGATCTATAATGTGAAATTAAGAAGTGGGATTTCCAGGAAAGATGCCACACAATTCAGGCAGTGCTGAACCCTAGCAATTCCCTTAGGAATTAAGGCCTAGCTCATGAACAGATGAGAAATTTCCTTCACACATCACAGTAAACAGAGAGAGAGATGTTGTTAACATATTTTTTCCAGAAAGATTGGTGGTTTTGTATCTCAATTGACAAACATACAGTATGTTAGGGGAAAACAGTCTTTTGGGATTTAGCTGGAGAACTTTTGCTGGCAAGGCTTTAACTGGAGATCCTGCATTGAGCAAGGGGTTGGACTCTATGACTCATGAGGTCCCTTCCAACTCTATGATTCTATGGGCAGTGTCTTCTGAAGTAATTGCTCCAGAATGATAATCTTGCACCATTGGGCCAAAGAACCACTAGATTAGCAATGACATAATGAACCAAAATCAACTGTCATAGTAAACTGCCACAACGAACCCAGAAATGCCATGATGAACCAAAACCAGCATAAGAAATAAAAAGGTCTTGGTTCTGCATGACCTTTTTCTTCAGAGGAGCTGCTTGTGGGTCATAGTGACTTTGAGGAAACAAAGAAAATGTGTGCATCACTTCTTCCTTCTTTCTTTTCTTCCTTCCTTTGATTTATTTAATGGATTTCTGTCTGGTCTTTCTCTTGGGATGGGATCCAAGATGGTTTGATCTCAGCATGTAGATAGATAACAAGAATGAAAAATACGGTACCTTGTGAATTCATAAGAAAGCTATGAAAGTCTTAATGGCAGACAAGGAGAAGGTGTATTATTTGCTTGGCAAGATTGTGGATGGTGATGCTTTCCCTAGGTAAAATTTAGGTAAAGAGGGAGAGTTGGAAGGTTCTATGCTTACCTTTTTGTGTCAACATCTGTGGAAAACAGGAATGTCTGACCTCACCTCCAATCAATGTAAAAAAAAGTCTAAGCTGGGAGGTTTGTTGTTGTTGTGTACCTTCAAGTCATTTCTGACTTATGGTGACCCTAAGACAAACCTATCATGGGGTTTTCTTGGCAGGATTTGTTCAGAGGTGTTTGCCATTGCCTTCCCTGGAGGCTGAGAGAGTGTGACTTGCCCAGGGTCACCCTGTGGGTTTCCATGGTCGAACAGGGATTCGAACCCTGGTCTCCAGGGTCATAGTCCAACACTTAAACCATTCCACCACTCTGGCTCTCTATCCCATGCTGGGACAGTAGCTGTACTTTGTTTAGAATGACAAAATGACAAAATCCTATGACACTCAGATTTATCTGTAATGTAATTGGGCTGAAAGGAATTTACACTTATGGAACATACTCTGAAATGAGGCTTGGCTTTCATTTGTTTGTCCTGCTTGTGCCCTTCCTATAGGTCAGAGATGAAAATAAGTGGTCCTTTCAAAGTCTGGCCAGCATAGCCAATGGAGATGAATGATGGGATCTCTAGTCTGGCTGCTTATTCAACTGCTTCATAGATAATTTACTTAACCACTCTTGATAACAGAATGGTTGATTAGTTAGCACTTTACTCTGATTCCAAGAGCTATTATGATTTCTCTTTAGTTCTTTATGATCCTTATTTTCCATGTTATTTATATCTAATTATTATCTTTGCCTATCATTTCTTTCACTATTGCTTTTGAAGATTATTGCATTAATAAATAAAGTGACTAACCTCTTTTAAATTAGGGACAAATACTAGATGCAGCCAGGTATTATCACATGGATTTTGCTGCTGTTGCTGCCTCCCAACTCCATCCAGGCAAAAACCCAGCTAAAATCCACCCTAGCTGGCAGATTTGCAAAGCCAGGAAGCTCCCAAAAGTGAAAAGTGGCCAATTGAGGGTGGATTTTAGCTGTGTTTTTGCCTGGATGTAGTTGGGAGGCAGCAACGATGGCAAAATCCATGTGACAATACCTGGCTGCATCCAGTATTCATCTCTAATTTGGAAAAGGTAAATCACCTTATTTATTAATGCGATAATCTCCTTTGTGTTGAATTTTTACTTTGTCCTTTATTGATTCTGTTTCTTTGTTGTTGCATATTATTGAGGAGTGTGTACCAATAAGCAATTCAATACATTTCCATTATAGTCCTGGTTCATCTTTACCTACCAGGATGCACTTCTGAACCTAAAATTACACAGGCAATGGGAAACTTTTTACCCTGAAAAAGTATTGCAAATGTGTAATGCAAAAAAAAAAAAAAAAGCTGCAGCAGTGACAGCTATGAACCCTGGAGCTGGCCAGGGGCAGGGGGGCATATGAGCCCTCCCCCCAAGACTAGGCTAGAGGTGCTTGATCCTTCCCTCAAACGATGAGGCAAAGTTGAAACACCAAGACTCTGATGTAGCTGAGCCTCCACAGGAATTAATAATCAAAAGGAAACTAAATGATCAAACACCAAAATAGATAAATAAAATATTAAGATACCTCATGTAGCAGAGCCTTCCCAGGAATAACAAAGGCTTCATGCAATCTATCCTATGCACACTTGGGAGTAAACTACATTAACACAAGAAAAGGAATTCTAAATACACATTGTACTTGTTAGAATTTTTGTATGTAAGGATGACTTAATCATTATGGATGGGAGGAATATCTCTTGGTCAGTTGCTGTCCACTCACATCTCATCATATGTGGATATGTGACATTGGGGGCTAGAATCTTGTATCAGCTAATACTTAACAAAGTGGTTAACTAAGTAATTTCTCCTGGCCCACCTCCCCAAACGCTGATGGAAACATTACTCAACTGTGCTCTGATCATCAGAAGAATGGTCCTCCTTCCTCCCATGCAGCTGATGTCCAATAAAGTAGGTTGGGGCAAGTTCTGCTTGTGGCAATAGCGTAAAAATTGTCACCATACAGTGATTCTGAATACAAAATAGTTGGGATTAGACAACTGCTACAGTTAGTGTCAGTTAGGTAACTGTTTTTTATTTACTAACATTACTTGGTCATGATTTTGACACCATTTCCATGAATATAACTGTTCTCCCAACCTACTTTACTGGGTATTCACTTGAAGAGGTAAAGGATGACCATTCTGACAACAATCAGAACATGATTGAAGATATTTTCATCAGGTTTTTAGGAACTGGGCCAGAAGTTACTTAAATTCAAAACACACTGCAGAAATAATCCAGTTTGAGACTGCTTTAACTGCCCTGGCTCAGTTCTAGGGAATCCTAGAAACTGTAGTTTTGTGAGACATTTAGCCTTCTCTGTCAGAGAGTTCTGGTGCTACAATAAACTACAGTTTCCAGGATTTCCTAGCACTGAGCCAGGACAGTTAAAGTGATCTCACACTGGATTATTCCTGCAGTCTGTTTTGGATCTTAGTTAAGTACTTTGATATGTATAAGCTGATAACAGGATTCTGGCCAGGATTTTTTGTTCCAAATATACATCACTTTATGCTTGCTTTTACTTTACAAACTCTTGCTTTTACTTTACAAACTCTTTTTGTTCTTATCATCTCAAATAATTTAATATCCTCAGCAACTTTGACCACCTGCCAGTGTTGAGCCACTCTCTCCAACTCTGCTTAAAAATATTTCTGGGGGTCCTGGCAGCAGTGATAGATTAAGATCTGTAGGTCAGGATGGAACAAGAACATTTCCCATCAACAACAACTTCTGCTCCACAGAAATAAGACAATTCCATTAAGAAAAAATAGCTCAGGAGACAATGTTCATTTCATGTCCCAGCAGATTACAACAGGATGTGTTTAACAGCCTTGATGTATGAAACTATTCTGTGGAGAATTCATATGTTCCAGGATTGTCAAACAAGATGTTACCAGAGGTCAATTGTTGCTTTTTTTGCTGCAGGGTGGGGGTGAAGTGAAGACACCAGATACAAGATAAGTGGTGAATTTTGCAATGCCTTGACAGGTTTGTGATGTACAGGAGATGTGCTGTCAAAATGGTGTCTTTAGCCAGAAGCAACCATGTTTTCAATATTTTTCTTCCCACGTTTACTTCTGTAACAATGTTTTGATCAGTTCTAAATTGGGACAAGCAAGAAATAGCAAGCTAGAAATATGCTATGTGTTCTGAAAAATGATCAACAAAACATTTCAAAGCCTTTGCTCATTATTTTCTAGCCATGCAGGATGATAATAAAAGAAAATATTACAGAATGTCTAACAATTTTGAAAACAAGAGGTCAAAGAAATAGCTCCAAGATCTCCCAAGACTGCTCATTAGTGGTGCTTACTCATACTTCTCAATTTTTCCTGTTAAATACTGGCTTCTATATTGTCATTTCTTTGTTCAGCTAGATTAATTTTTCTTCACTGTCAACTTGTATGTTTGTAAGGGCCTAAAACAGGTATGTATATTCTGGTCTTTCTGATATATATGTATATAGGTATGTACTATGTATGTATATGGAGCAGTCATATTGTTGCACACCAATGCAACGTACAAATATCCAAGGTTAGTGACACCCGAGGAAATAATCTGATAAGCACCCCTTGTTGTCATTAATATAGAACAATTAATTAAATAACAGTGTGCTGCCATTTTTTAACACCCAATGTGCTGTTTGAGGAATCTTCCTCACTATACCCAATGATAGGGCCAGACTTGTCCTCCATAGCTTTTGACTCCAACGGCTCTCTTGCCTACAGTCATGTCAACACTATCTGACCCCATCCTCTTGGTGGTGGCATCCTACACCCATCTATCCTCTCCAACTGCAGGCTAATTTCCAAGGCCAAACTTATCTTGCCACCTCATTTCCGTATCCAATGGCTATGTCGTTGTCCACAAACAACCATAGTTAAAACTGGACTTTCTATTTCATTTCCATACACAAAGGATTTTGAATTTGAATTGACATTCTCTCACAAGGGCATATATATGTCTGTCCCTGGCTTCCACGCCACCAAAAGCCTCTGAGGAAGTAGACTGATGTTCATGCTGCCAACTTCTTTCTTTAAGTTAATCTCAAAGGTGCTATAAGATCTCCCTACATACATTGCCTTATTAGAATATGGGCAAAAGACCTTTTAATTGCCTTTTTTGAAGTGTGCCCATGGCAGCTTTAGCATAGCCCTTCCATTAGTATGCACCTCAGCTGCTCACTCATATTGACAGCAGGGTTTATTTTAAGCTCTCCTCCCCACTATGTACAAGAAGCTGGAAAGCAGGTACCAAGAAGATGCTTTTTTCTATCTGCCCTGCATTTTGCATTACCATGCAGTGCATTGTAGGTGGCTGACAGCTTCACCAAGGCACTGACTGAATATAGATTATAACTGTTCCTGACTTGTGATGGCATTGTGGACCAAAACAGAATTAATAAAATATATGCAGTGGTGAAAGTCATTACAAAATCTGGTAATAAAAAGCAGGACTTTCTAGGTTTCAGTGCACCCCAGACTCATGGTGTAAAATAAGTAGTGAATGAAATCAACAATATCTGCAGCAAAACAGGGGGATCCAAAGCAGGTAGCTGTATTTCTATGTATACTCTTTGATCACAGATACAGCAGTCATATTGTTGGTCCCAACAATATACGATCATTATATGATTATGAGCACTGAAAGTAACAGTAGTCATTTTAAGATTCTGTTCTTTATCATATCCACATCTATTCATTTTAAAGAAATGATATAGTTTCTGATAAAGTCCAAATCACAAACTATACAAAAACCTATTTCCTGGCGAACATTTTATTTTCCCACTGCACAAAATGTGTCCAGCTTCACATTAAAATAATGGCTGATGCACTGGCCAAATGATAGAAATTCTGGGCCCTTCATCCAGAAGGTTGTCAAAGACCCTGTGGACTATGTTGTGGCTCTGTTTGGTGGGTGTTAGTGAATCGGATCAGTATGGCTTTAACTAATTGGAGTTGATGGAAGGTGGGCACCAATGCAGGCAAATTAAAAGTAAGATAGGAAAAGCCCAGAGTGAAGGCCCAAAGGACCAAGGCACCTGAAGGAACCGTTCATATTCTGGGTTGTCCTGGTCTACCCACCTTGTTCACAAATTCCAAAGGAGTCGAGGTGCCATTCAGCAAAACAGTAGAGGTCTCCAGGAGTTTGCTGTGGCATTCTGACAGCATCCTAACCAGCCTATTTGCTACCGCTGGACAGATGGACGGGGTCCTTCCCAGGAAGGCAGACAACCCCTCTGAAGTGTCACCCAGTGCAATATGCACACCCAACCCCAGAAA